TGTGTCTGGAGAGTTTCTCATGAGTAGGCTGGCCGTTTTTCTGGTTTTATAGTAAATCGTCAGTTGTATCCTCTGATTTTTGTCTGTAGGGATAACGTTTCTATTAACAATATCTTTCAGGACCCTTTCCTCCGTTTTATGAGCTGTGGAAAAGAAGTTCCTGTAAAATAGTCTAATAGGGGGTATAGGTGTTGTGTTAGTTGTCTCTTCAGAGGTTGCATGGCTTTTCACTTTCCTTCTTATGATGTCTTCGACGAAACCATTGGAGAAATGGAAATGTCAAGACGCACAAGCCCGGAAACCCACTTCGGCCAATCATTAGCCAGATACCCACACCCACGTACAGACTGGCGAAGCGACTCAACGGCCTGCTGACTCCTTATGTTCCTTGCGCCTTCAGCCTGAAGTCTCCAAAGGAATTTGTTGACTTACTGTGGGGCACACGGGCCACAGGGATAAGAGCCTCGTTGGACGTAGAATCGCTGTTTACCAACGTACCTGTGGACGAGACAATCGGAATGATAGCCGACAGAGTGTATCGTGATCCAGCCTGTACTCCTCTTGACATACCAGAAAATATTCTGAGGAAACTACTCCAAGCTTGTACTAAAGAGGCACCCTTCTTGAGCCCGGATGGGCACATGTATAAGCAAGTAGATGGGGTCGCCATGGGCTCTCCCCTAGGTGTCCTGTTTGCAAACTTCTACATGGGTACCATCGAGCAAAAAGTCTTAGTCGACATGAACTTGAAACCGGCCATATACTGCAGGTATGTTGACGACATTTTTACACAGGTACCTGATGTCAGACATCTGCAGGAGCTGAAGGAGGCATTTGAGCAGAGTTCCGTGCTGCGTTTCACTTACGAGATGGAAAAGGATGGGACGCTGCCCTTTCTAGATGTAAGTCATGGAAAAGGGCGGAGGTTTCCACACTGCAGTCTACACTAAGGAAACAAACATAGGAATGTGCCTAAATGCCAACAGCGACTGCCCAGACAGGTACAAGAGGAGTGTTGTTAACGCATATGTCGACCGTGCTCTCAGCCACAGCTCAGAATGGAAGCAAGTCGACGAAGAACTCTGTAGGGTAAGGCAGGTCCTAGTCCAATGGTTTCGTCGAAGACATCATAAGAAGGAAAGTGAAAAGCCATGCAACCTCTGAAGAGACAACTAACACAACACCTATACCCCCTATTAGACTATTTTACAGGAACTTCTTTTCCACAGCTCATAAAACGGAGGAAAGGGTCCTGAAAGATATTGTTAATAGAAACGTTATCCCTACAGACAAAAATCAGAGGATACAACTGACGATTTACTATAAAACCAGAAAAACGGCCAGCCTACTCATGAGAAACTCTCCAGACACAAAACAGAACGCTTTAAAAGAGACTAACGTCGTCTATGCCTTCAAATGCCCTCTTGGGGACTGTAAGCTCCAAAAAACCCAGTATATAGGCAAGACAACAACATCTCTTTCTAGGCGTTTAACGATGCATAAGCAACAGGGCTCCATTAAGGAACATATAATCTCTTCCCACAACCAAACCATCGCCAGAGAAATCCTAGTAAACAACACAGAAATCATCGATAGATACAGCGATAGCAGGCGGCTTGACGTTTGCGAGGCACTACACATCAAGAAGTCAACACCAGCAATCAACAGCCAATTATTGCACAACTATATTCTACCCACCTCAAGACTCCGCTCCAATATAGAAGCATCAAGAAATATGGACCAATAGGCTTTCTACAAACACTTCTATTCAATATCCATTGTTTCGTGTTCTGTCTTGTGTTGATGAAATTAATACCCTATTAATACTCTTGTTCTGTCTTGTGTTGATGAAATTAATACCCTATTAATACCACACTTTGTTCTGTCTTGTGTTAATGCCACATCACCCCTTCCACCTCACTCAAATGTAGATATAAAATCGGAGATGCGTAAGTTCTATTCAGTTGTGTATTTGTGAACTAAAGTCTTTGAAAATGTAATAAGTTTTACGAAACGCGCTCGTGTCGCGTCAGACTAGAAATAAAAATGAGTTTTGGAGAATTGATTTTTGATTTACCTCCAACAGTGAAACGAAATGTACGAAAGATTGAGAAAATTCGTGTTAGAATTATTAATCTTACTTTTTCGGTCATATTTAATAATATATGTCTACAGGAAAGACTGCTACCAAAATATACTAATATATATATATATATATATAATAATTAGTATATTTTGCTAGCAGCCTTTCTTGTAAACATATGTTGTTCAATGTGATCGAAAGGGTAAGATTAATGATTCTAAAGCGAATTTTCTCAATATTTCTTATGTTTCTCTTCACTGTCGAGGGTAGTTGAAAAATTAATTCTCCAAAGTTCCTTTTCACACTTTATTTATGGTCTGATTCCTAGAAGCGATTCTGAAGACACTTCTTACATTTTCAAAGACAGTTTTACATACTCTGTTAATGCTTACATTCGTTTTTGGGGTGAGGTGATAGGAGATGAATCAATGGGTGCATTGCGTGTTTTATCTTCTTGCTTTTTTGTTGGTTCGGGGTCTTGAAGTGGGTAGAATGTAATTCTGTATTAATGGCTGTTGATTGCTGGTTTTGACTTTATGATGTGTTGGGCCTCGCTGATGTTGAGTCTCTTGTTGTCGTTATATTTTTCGATAATATCCGTGTTATTTGTTAAGATGTCTCTGGTGATGGTCTGGTTGTGTGAGGAGATTATATGCTCCTTGATGAAGCCCTGTTGCTTCTGTATTGCTAATCACCTACAAAGAGACGTTGTTGTCTTGCCTGTTGACGTTATTGTTGATTTTAACTTAGGCTGTGTAGCGGAGCTTTTGAATCAGTGCAGATCGCTGCACCATTAGTGTTTCGTTCAATGAATCTTAACGTGATAACAATGGTAGATAACGTGGTTTCATTTCTGTTTTTTCTTCATTTCTGCGTGGAAAGGCATTATTCCTAATTACCGTGTATGCTGCACCAGCCCTGCCATTGACTGGATTAGAGGACCCGTATCTTGAGGTTATCTTCAGATGATTTCGGGGCTTTAGTGTCCCCGCGGCCCGGTCCTCGACCAGGCCTCTACCCCCAGGAAGCAGCCCGTGACAGCTGACTAACACCCAGGTACCTATTTTACTGCTAGGTAACAGGGGCATAGGGTGAAAGAAACTCTGCCCATTGTTTCTCGCAGGCGCCCGGGATCGAACCCGGGACCACAGGATCAAAAGTCCAGCGTGCTGTCCGCTCGGCCGACCGGCTCCCCTTCCTGACCCTCCCCGTCAGTGTAGATTTGATTTGGTTCATCTCCTGCTTCTTTTTAAATTTCCTCCAGATACTTGTGCCTCATTTCATGTGGTAAGAATGATTCAACGTACAACAAAAGACTACTAACATCTCGCAATTTGAAACTGAAGTTTAAATAGAAACACGTTTGATAATTAAGATAAAAATACCCTCAGAGAGATGAGGTACCTCAAGCAGCTCTCATATGTTAACATACAAGCTCATATATTTACCCCAAAAATCTTATATTTAAAAAAAAAAAAGTTCACAAAATTATATATATTTTCATAAAATCTATATTTTCATAACAAAATTTCGTATATAAACAAATTTTTTTTTAACAAAATAATAATAATAAAGAGTGCCTTGGGATTTCTCAAGGAATTGGGCTCCAAGCTCATTGACGTCAACAGAGACCCAAGAGCTGCCAGTTTTTTGTTTCAGCGCCTTAGTGTGGCGATCCAGAGGGGAAACGCCTGCTGCATCCTCGGTTCCTGTCCAGAAGTGGAGGAGCTTAAAGAGATCTATTCCTTAAAACACTTTTTGTATCAACCAATGTATCTTGTAACCATTAAATACATAATAAAGCACAAAAAAAAAAGGAAATGGTAGGAGAAGAGCACACAGAAACTGTATTGGAAGGGACCTAAACATAACCTCTAATGCGTTATGTGGGGTTTCCTCCGAGGCTAAGGGTTCCCCTTCTCCCAGCTAACGTATTAGAGGGAAGGTTTAGGTCCCTTCTTATGGCAGATAAGGTCCCCTTATCCAGTTTAGGTTCCCTTAGGTCGCCTTGGAGGGAATATATATTATATATCACAAAAATATTAAATTTAAAAGAAAAAATACATACATATATATTCACATTATGTATGACAATTATTTACTTGCCCCAATAAACATACAATGAACCAAATTAATAAATAAATACACAGAGAGAGAGAGAGAGAACTTGCTAAATAAAATCTTCCTCAAATAACCTGCAATTTCGAGGTCCTCACACCCGTCATTAGCTCACCCGTCATTAGCTCACCCGTCTTTAGTTCACCCGTCATTAGCTGAACCGCCACACAACACAAAATAATTTCAACTTCAATAAAAGAGTGGATGATATATGAGCCGAGGTCCACCACATTGCCAATCAAATTTAAATTGGAATATTTCATCTGTGAATGATTTGATAATTGAACCAATATTACAGTTGAAATTGCACTAAATAGGCTGGCATGAAGATTAGTGGTAAAATTGGATTTAGAGAAAACAAGGGCGTAGACAGCCTCAACAATTACACGGATGAACACTGTTACAACCAACATGTAATATTTCATACATAACCCATCTGGTAATATTTCGTACATAAAACAAAGTATATATTCTATACATACCTTATTATGTATTATTCATTCATAACCCAATATGTAATCTTACTAATTGACAGTAAGGGCCAAGTGGGGGAAGCACACTGGACCTTATGGGGCAGTAAGGGCCAAGTGGGGGAAGCACACTGGACCTTATGGGGCAGTAAGGGCCAAGTGGGGGAAGCACACTGGACCTTATGGGGCAGTAAGGGCCAAGTGGGGGAAGCACACTGGACCTTAGGGGCAGTAAGGGCCAAGTGGGGGAAGCACACTGGACCTTATGGGGCAGTAAGGGCCGGGTGGGGGAAGGCCGGATAGAGGGAGGGATGTGCGCGCCGTTTGTCATGTCAACAAACAACTTTACTGCTCCCTCGCTAGCAGTAAAATACTCACTTATGTGTCATGTGACGTGGCGGTCACTTCCCTCCACACCCATGCTCCTGCCCAATACCCCTACGCTCCCGCCCTCCACGCCCACGCTCCTGCACTCCGCACCCACGCTCCTGCCCACCACACCCACGCTCCTGCCCTCCGCACCCACGCTCCTGCCCTCCGCACCCACGCTCCTGCCCTCCGCACCCACGCTCCCGGCCCTCCCCGCCCACGCTCCCAGCCCTCCCCGCCCACGCTCCCGGCCCTCCCCGCCCACGCTCCCGGCCCTCCCCGCCCACGCTCCCGGCCCTCCCCGCCCACGCTCCCGGCCCTCCCCGCCCACGCTCCCGGCCCTCCCCGCCCACGCTCCCGGCCCTCCCCGCCCACGCTCCCGGCCCTCCCCGCCCACGCTCCCGGCCCTACACGCCCACGCTCCCGGCCCTACACGCCCACGCTCCCGGCCCTACACGCCCACGCTCCCGGCCCTACACGCCCACGCTCCCGGCCCTACACGCCCACGCTCCCGGCCCTACACGCCCACGCTCCCGGCCCTACACGCCCACGCTCCCGGCCCTACACGCCAATGCTCCAGCCCTCCACACCCACATACCGCAATATATGTGGGTGCTCACTAGTTAATGGATAGACAACTTAGCGAGGAATTATGGTTTGTGAAAAAATTCCTCGCTCCAGTCTTTAGGAATTTTTATGGAGAATAAGTTTAAGCTGCGGTGTCAAGGAATTCTCACAGAGAAAATATACTTGCTGTGGTGTTAAGGAATTCTTATGGAGAAAAACTCCTCGCTCCCATCTTAAGGAAATTTTAAGGAGAAAATATCATGTCGTCTCCACCACCCGTTCTTGGTTAAAATTACAGTCAGAGGTTGTCCATTTTCAGAGGATATGTTAATTAGGAGTTTGTGAAGTAATTAATTGTCAGATATTAGTTATTGGGCCCGCCTTTAGATATTTATAAATGTCGTTTCATTATTATCAACGTTATTTTCATAAGATTTTTATTTTAGTCATATCAGTCACATTAATTTCAAATGAAATAGTTACCGAGGTTCAGCTCCTGTCTTCCACCTTAATTCACTCGTGATATTTCGTTACTATTAACTGTTCAATTCCTGTGAAATTTAAAATATACTTACTTCATACATGGTAAACGAGGTTAAGTTAGAGAGTTTCAGCTCTTGTCCTCCGCCTTGTTCACTCCTATAATTTTCTTACTATCGACGTGTTTTCATGAGATTTAAAATATAGTTATTTCAGTCACATTAAGTACAAATGAAATAGTTACCGAGCTCTGGCTCCTGTCCTCTGCCTTACTTCTCTCTTGTAACTTCGTTATTATTAACCCTACTTTTCTGAAATTAAAAATCGCCACATTTCAGACTTAGTAAACGAGATAAAGTTAGTTACTGAGCTCCAGCTCATGTACCCGCCTTGGTTCACTCGCATAGCTTTGTTATTAACAGTTAAAATTTCCAGAGATTTAAAATAGACATATTTCAGACATAGTAAAACAAAATAAAGTGACAAGCTCTAGTTCCTGTTGTCCTCCTTACTTCTCTCTAGTAACTTTGTTAATATCAGTTAATTTTCCCGTGATTTAAAACCACTGTTTTTGAGACGCAGTAAAATGGATCACTGCAGTTATCGAGTTCAGCTCTTGTTCTCCGTCTTAGTTCAATGTTCACCAAAACATAGTTATTTCAGAAGAACAGGTCAGCTCTGGTCCATCGCGTGTATCAAAGTAAACATGTTGCCGATATACTTGTTGGTAAACAAGAGTCATGACCTCTCCTTCAATAGTCGTGTGTGTGAAGTGTGTATGAGAGTATATAAACACTCTCCAGGTAGGGTTAACCGCCCATAACTACCCTTATCTCCCTCATTTGCGATAATTTATAGCTCGCACCAAATTAAGTGATTATCTCTCCCTCCCCCCCTCCCCTCTCACTACCTCCCTCACCCCCTCAGCTCCCCCCACGCCCATATCTTCCCCCTCACACCCTACTCCTCTTCCATCTCAACCCCCCCCCCCCTCACTTCCTCTCTCACTTAATTTTAGAGATATTTACCACACACAATAATAATAAATTATTCAATAAGCTCTTTTTACAGTTTTACTCAGAGGCCTGGGTAGGGGGGAGGGTAGAAATATTACGGGCATGTTCTTCGCATGTTGTGTGCATGTTCCTACATGTTCTCTGTACTTCTTTATACCAACTGTACAATTGTTTCAGTTACATCTTTTCTTACATTTGTCTTGTTGTCCAGATGTTCACAGCATGTTCTCGGCCATTTCAATTCACGTTCTCTGTGTTCTTCACGTGCTTTTTACATATTCTCTGTATATTTTTGAACAAGAATGTGCAAATGTTCATGTTACATCTTTATTCAGTAACTTGTTATGTATGAACAACCCGTATTTCTGTTTTCTGTTTCGTTAAATAAGATTAGGGACAACTTTCATAGTATAACATTAATTTACTTAAAATATATATATATATATATATATATATATATATATATATAATAATTAGTATATTTTGCTAGCAGCCTTTCTTGTAAACATATGTTGTTCAATGTGATCGAAAGGGTAAGATTAATGATTCTAAAGCGAATTTTCTCTATTTCTTATGCTTCTCTTCACTGTCGAGGGTAGTTGAAAAATGAATTCTCCAAAGTTCCTTTTCACACTTTATTTATGGTCTGATTCCTAGAAGCGATTCTGAAGACACTTCTTACATTTTCAAAGACAGTTTTACATACTCTGTTAATGCTTACATTCGTTTTTGGGGTGAGGTGATAGGAGATGAATCAATGGGTGCATTGCGTGTTTTATCTTCTTGCTTTTGTGTTGGTTCGGGGTCTTGAAGTGGGTAGAATGTAATTCTGTATTAATGGCTGTTGATTGCTGGTTTTGACTTTATGATGTGTTGGGCCTCGCTGATGTCGAGTCTCCTGTTGTCGTTATATTTTTCGATAATATCCGTGTTATTTGTTAAGATGTCTCTGGTAATGGTCTGGTTGTGTGAGGAGATTATATGCTCCTTGATGAAGCCCTGTTGCTTCTGTATTGCTAATCACCTACAAAGAGACGTTGTTGTCTTGCCTGTTGACGTTATTGTTGATTTTAACTTAGGCTGTGTAGCGGAGCTTTTGAATCAGTGCAGATCGCTGCACCATTAGTGTTTCGTTCAATGAATCTTAACGTGATAACAATGGTAGATAACGTGGTTTCATTTCTGTTTTTTCTTCATTTCTGCGTGGAAAGGCATTATTCCTAATTACCGTGTATGCTGCACCAGCCCTGCCATTGACTGGATTAGAGGACCCGTATCTTGAGGTTATCTTCAGATGATTTCGGGGCTTTAGTATCCCCGCGGCCCGGTCCTCGACCAGGCCTCCTCCCCCAGGAAGCAGCCCGTGACAGCTGACTAACACCCAGGTACCTATTTTACTGCTAGGTAACAGGGGCATAGGGTGAAAGAAACTCTGCTCATTGTTTCTCGCCGGTGCCCGGGATCGAACCCGGGACCACAGGATCAAAAGTCCAGCGTGCTGTCCACTCGGTTGACCGGCTCCCCTTCCTGACCCTCCCCGTCAGTGTAGATTTGATTTGGTTCATCTCCTGCTGCTTTTTAAATTTCCTCGAGATACTTGTGCCTCATTTCATGTGGTAAGAATGATTCAACGTACAACAAAAGACTACTAACATCTCGCAATTTGAAACTGAAGTTTAAATAGAAACACGTTTGATAATTAAGATAAAAATACCCTCAGAGAGATGAGGTACCTCAAGCAGCTCTCATATGTTAACATACAAGCTCATATATTTACCCCAAAAATCTTATATTTAAAAAAAAAAGTTCACAAAATTATATATATTTTCATAAAATCTATATTTTCATAACAAAATTTCGTATATACACAATTTTTTTTTTTACAAAATAATAATAATAAAGAGTGCCTTGGGATTTCTCAAGGAATTGGGCTCCAAGCTCATTGACGTCAACAGAGACCCAAGAGCTGCCAGTTTTTTGTTTCAGCGCCTCAGTGCGGCGATCCAGAGGGGAAACGCCTGCTGCATCCTCGGTTCCTGTCCAGAAGTGGAGGAGCTTAAAGAGATCTATACCTTAAAACACTTTTTGTATCAACCAATGTATCTTGTAACCATTAAATACATAATAAAGCACAAAAAAAGGAAATGGTTGGTAGGAGAAGAGCACACAGAAACTGTATTGGAAGGGACCTAAACATAACCTCTAATGCGTTATGTGGGGTTTCCTCCGAGGCTAAGGGTTCCCCTTCTCCCAGCTAACGTATTAGAGGGAAGGTTTAGGTCCCCTTCTTATGTCAGATAAGGTCTCCTTATCCAGTTTAGGTTCCCTTAGGTCGCCTTAGAGGGAATATATATTATATATCACAAAAATATTAAATTTAAAAGAAAAAATACATACATATATCTTCACATTATGTATGACAATTATTTACTTGCCCCAATAAACATATAATGAACCAAATTAATAAATAAATACAAAGAGAGAGAGAGAGAGAACTTGCTAAATAAAATCTTCCTCAAATAACCTGCAATTTCGAGGTCCTCACACCCGTCATTAGCTCACCCGTCATTAGCTCACCCGTCTTTAGTTCACCCGTCATTAGCTCACCCGTCATTAGCTGAACCGCCACACAACACAAAATAATTTCAACTTCAATAAAAGAGTGGATGATATATGAGCCGAGGTCCACCACATTGCCAATCAAATTTAAATTGGAATATTTCATCTGTGAATGATTTGATAATTGAACCAATATTACAGTTGAAATTGCACTAAATAGGCTGGCATGAAGATTAGAGGTAAAATTGGATTTAGAGAGAAAACAAGGGCGTAGACAGCCTCAACAATTACACGGATGAACACTGTTACAACCAACATGTAATATTTCATACATAACCCATCTGGTAATATTTCGTACATAAAACAAAGTATATATTCTATACATACCTTATTATGTATTATTCATTCATAACCCAATATGTAATGTTACTAATTGACAGTAAGGGCCAAGTGGGGGAAGCACACTGGACCTTATGGGGCAGTAAGGGCCGGGTGGGGGAAGCACACTGGACCTTATGGGGCAGTAAGGGCCGGGTGGGGGAAGCACACTGGACCTTATGGGGCAGTAAGGGCCGGGTGGGGAAGCACACTGGACCTTATGGGGCAGTAAGGGCCAAGTGGGGGAAGCACACTGGACCTTATGGGGCAGTAAGGGCCGGGTGGGGGAAGCACACTGGACCTTATGGGGCAGTAAGGGCCGGGTGGGGGAAGCACACTGGACCTTATGGGGCAGTAAGGGCCGGGTGGGGGAAGCACACTGGACCTTATGGGGCAGTAAGGGCCGGGTGGGGGAAGCACACTGGACCTTATGGGGCAGTAAGGGCCGGGTGGGGGAAGCACACTGGACCTTATGGGGCAGTAAGGGCCAAGTGGGGGAAGCACACTGGACCTTATGGGGCAGTAAGGGCCGGGTGGGGGAAGCACACTGGACCTTATGGGCAGTAAGGGCCGGGTGGGGGAAGCACACTGGACCTTATGGGGCAGTAAGGGCCGGGTGGGGGAAGCACACTGGACCTTATGGGGCAGTAAGGGCCGGGTGGGGGAAGCACACTGGACCTTATGGGGCAGTAAGGGCCAAGTGGGGGAAGCACACTGGACCTTATGGGGCAGTAAGGGCCAAGTGGGGGAAGCACACTGGACCTTATGGGGCAGTAAGGGCCAAGTGGGGGAAGCACACTGGACCTTATGGGGCAGTAAGGGCCGGGTGGGGGAAGGCCGGATAGAGGGAGGGATGTGCGCGCCGTTTGTCATGTCAACAAACAACTTTACTGCTCCCTCGCTAGCAGTAAAATACTCACTTATATGTCATGTGACGTGGCGGTCACTTCCCTCCACACCCACGCTCCCGCCCTCCACGCCCACGCTCCCGGCCTCCACACCCACGCTCCTGCACTCCGCGCTCCTGCCCACACTCCCGCCCTCCCCGCCCACGCTCCCGGCCCTCCCCGCCCACGCTCCCGGCCCTCCCCGCCCACGCTCCCGGCCCTCCCCGCCCACGCTCCCGGCCCTCCCCGCCCACGCTCCCGGCCCTCCCCGCCCACGCTCCCGGCCCTCCCCGCCCACGCTCCCGGCCCTCCCCGCCCACGCTCCCGGCCCTCCCCGCCCACGGTCCCGGCCCTCCCCGCCCACGCTCCCGGCCCTCCCCGCCCACGCTCCCGGCCCTCCCCGCCCACGCTCCCGGCCCTACACGCCCACGCTCCCGGCCCTACACGCCCACGCTCCCGGCCCTACACGCCCACGCTCCAGCCCTCCACACCCACATACCGCAATATATGTGGGTGCTCATTAGTTAATGGATAGACAACTTAGCGAGGAATTATGGTTTGTGAAAAATTCCACGCTCCAGTCTTTAGGAATTTTTATGGAGAATAAGTTTAAGCTGCGGTGTCAAGGAATTCTCACGGAGAAAATATACTCGCTGTGGTGTTAAGGAATTCTTATGGAGAAAAAATCCTCGCTCCCGTCTTAAGGAAATCTTAAGGAGAAAATATCGTGTCTTATGCACCACCTGTTTAGGGTAAAATTACAGTCAGAGGTTGTCCATTTTCAGAGGATATGTTAACTTGGAGTTTGTGAAGTAATTAATTGTCAGATATTAGTTATTGGGCCCGTCTTTAGATATTTATAAATGTAGTTTCATTATTATCAACGTTATTTTCATAAGATTTTTATTTTAGTCATATCAGTCACATTAATTTCAAATGAAATAGTTACCGAGTTTCAGCTCCTGTCTTCCACCTTAATTCACTCGTGATATTTCGTTACTATTAACAGTTCAATTCCTGTGAAATTTAAAATATACTTACTTCATACATGGTAAACGAGGTTAAGTTAATTAGAGAGTTTCAGCTCTTGTCCTCCGCCTTGTTCACTCCTATAATTTTCTTACTATCGACGTGTTTTCATGAGATTTAAAATATAGTTATTTGTCACATTAAGTACAAATGAAATAGTTACCGAGCTCTGGCTCCTGTCCTCTGCCTTACTTCTCTCTTGTAACTTCGTTATTATTAACCCTACTTTTCTGAAATTAAAAATCGCCACATTTCAGACTTAGTAAACGAGATAAAGTTAGTTACTGAGCTCCAGCTCATGTACCCGCCTTGGTTCACTCGCATAGCTTTGTTATTAACAGTTAAAATTTCCAGAGATTTAAAATAGACATATTTCAGACATAGTAAAACAAAATAAAGTGACAAGCTCTAGTTCCTGTTGTCCTCCTTACTTCTCTCTAGTAACTTTGTTAATATCAGTTAATTTTCCCGTAATTTAAAACCACTGTTTTTGAGACGCAGTAAAATGGATCACTGCAGTTATCGAGTTCAGCTCTTGTTCTCCGTCTTAGTTCAATGTTCACCAAAACATAGTTATTTCAGAAGAACAGTTCAGCTCTGGTCCATCGCGTGTATCAAAGTAAACATGTTGCCGATATACTTGTTGGTAAACAAGAGTCATGACCTCTCCTTCAATAGTCGTGTGTGTGTGAAGTGTGTATGAGAGTATATAAACACTCTCCAGGTAGGGTTAACCGCCCATAACTACCCTTATCTCCCTCATTTGCGATAATTTATAGCTCGCACCAAATTAAGTGATTATCTCTCCCTCCCCCCCTCCCCTCTCACTACCTCCCTCACCCCCTCAGCTCCCCCCACGCCCATATCTTCCCCCTCACACCCTACTCCTCTTCCATGTCAACCCCCCCCCCCCCCTCACTTCCTCTCTCACTTAATTTTAGAGATATTTACCACACACAATAATAATAAATTATTCAATAAGCTCTTTTTACAGTTTTACTCAGAGGCCTGGGTAGGGGGGAGGGTAGAAATATTACGGGCATGTTCTTCGCATGTTGTGTGCATGTTCCTACATGTTCTCTGTACTTCTTTATACCAACTGTACAATTGTTTCTGTTACATCTTTTCTTACACTTGTCTTGTTGTCCAAATGTTCACAGCATGTTCTCGGCCATTTCAATTCACGTTCTCTGTGTTCTTCACGTGCTTTTTACATATTCTCTGTATATTTTAGAACAAGAATGTGCAAATGTTCATGTTACATCTTTATTTAGTAACTTGTTATGTATGAACAACCCGTATTTCTGTTTTCTGTTTCGTTAAATAAGATTAGGGACAACTTTCATAGTATAACATTAATTTACTTAAAATTTTATTTATATATTTACAAATTATTTACTCTAAAGTTATTTAGTTATTTATGAATTGGTTTAGTCATTTTCCAAAATATTTTTATTTACATAAAGATTTTATTAATAAAAATGTTATTAATTTTATATACCAGTTTGTAAAACTATCAATGCATTTTTTTATCAACTTAATAATTCTTGCTGACACCGCTCTTAACTAAGTATATAGTAACATATTTACTAAAACAATCTTTTCTTAATATTTCTCAACTTAATATCTCTTCATTCAAATGAAAATAGTCAAGAAAATCTTTCACAACGTTTTTCAACTAACATTGTCAAGGGTAACTTTCTTCCAAATATTTATAAACTAAAGTTACTATCTGAGACCTCTAGATACATCAAAGGATACACTCCGAGCCATCAATGATATTCTCCATGCCCTCTTTATGTAAGGAGGATACACTCTGAGACATCAACGATACACTCAAGTATATAAGGCATCAACCAAGCAATTTCTCAGAGATATCAATCATATTCTCTAAGACACCTTCATGCAACATAAAAACTCTCCAAAACAATTATATATAACAAGGTTACTTTAAAGAATATCTTCACGCATTTAAGGATTCTTTTCAGAATGCTAAGACATTAATTCCAACATCTTAAGAATTAATTCCAACATCTTTTCATAACACATATTAATTAAGAATGTACTTTCTTCAAAAGTCAAGGGTAACTTTCAAGTCATATGTAACATTTACTATTTATGTACTAAATAAATTATTCTACGGTATCTTTAACATATTTAAACAACCATTTCTGGTTGTTTAAATATTGTCACATAACTTACTAAGACATGTATTTGTGTAGTCACAAATATCTTTCAAGTATTATCTTAAACTGTACATGTTCAACTGTCTGTAATATTTCATAACTTTATTTACTAATAAACTTATGCTTCATGTAAAATTAATCAATTAACTAACTTTTATATATTATCAGTTTTACTAAGACATTAATATTCAAAACTTGTTAATAACATTTAATGTCACACATCTCTCTTATGTCACTCACAAAAATATCTCATCTCTCTGTAACATATCTATCATCTCTTATTCCTGTAACTTGCATTAAGGGGCCACGAGTTAGTTTTTTAAACTTTGTTCAATGTCAACAATTCTTTTTTTTTTTTTGACTAGTTGTATATGAAAAGGGCTGCAATTGTCCCAAGTTTCAATACTGCAGCCTAAATAGAAAGGGAGTTTTTTTTTTCAACGAATATTACACATTTTCAATAAGTTCCTACAACCACAAGTTCTAAATATAATCATTCTATGCCACTTTTCTGACACATTAGCATATAATAAAGGATCTGATGCCGCGGATTTTCCAAAATGTATTTAGTTTTACTAATACAAATTAGTAAAACATATTAGTAAAACTAAACGTATTAGATATGACTAGAATCAAAATCTTATGAAAATAACGTTGATAATAATGAAACTACATTTATAAATATCTAAAGACGGGCCCAATAACTAATATCTGACAATTAATTACTTCACAAACTCCAAATTAACATATCCTCTGAAAATGGACAACCTCTGACTGTAATTTTACCCTAAACAGGTGGTGCATAAGACACGATATTTTCTCCTTAAGATTTCCTTAAGACCGGAGCGAGGAATTTTTCTCCATATGAATTCCTTAACACCACAGCAAGTATATTTTCTCCGTGAGAATTCCTTGACACCGCAGCTTAAACTTATTCTCCATAAAAATTCCTAAAGACTGGAGCGAGGAATTTTTTCACAAACCATAATTCCTCGCTAAGTTGTCTATCCATTAACTAGTGGGAATGGTATGTGGGTGCGGTATGTGGGTGCGGTATGTGGGTGTGGTATGTGGGTGCGATATGTGGGAGCGATATGTGGGAGCGATATGTGGCTGCGATATATATGGGAGTGGTATGTGGGTGCAGTATGTGTGAGTGGTATGTGGGTGCGATATGTGGGTGCGGTATGTGAATGCGGTATGTGGGTGCGATACGTCGTGCAATATGTGGGAGTGGTATGTAGGTGCGGCATGTGGGGTGCGGCATGTGGGGTGCGGCATGTGGGGTGCGGCATGTGGGGTGCGGCATGTGGGGTGCGGCATGTGGGTGCGGTATGTGGTTTTGGTATGTGGGTGTAGAGGGCTGCAGCGTGGGTGTGAAGGGCCGGGAGCGTGGGTGTGGAGGGCCGGGAGCGTGGGTGTGGAGGGCCGGGAGCGTGGGTGTGGAGGGCCGGGAGCGTGGGTGTGGAGGGCCGGGAGCGTGGGTGTGGAGGGCCGGGAGCGTGGGTGTGGAGGGCCGGGAGCGTGGGTGTGGAGGGCCGGGAGCGTGGGTGTGGAGGGCCGGGAGCGTGGGTGTGGAGGGCCGGGAGCGTGGGTGTGGAGGGCCGGGAGCGTGGGTGTGGAGGGCCGGGAGCGTGGGTGTGGAGGGCCGGGAGCGTGGGTGTGGAGGGCCGGGAGCGTGGGTGTGGAGGGCCGGGAGCGTGGGTGTGGAGGGCCGGGAGCGTGGGTGTGGAGGGCCGGGAGCGTGGGTGTGGAGGGCCGGGAGCGTGGGTGTGGAGGGCCGGGAGCGTGGGTGTGGAGGGCCGGGAGCGTGGGTGTGGAGGGCCGGGAGCGTGGGTGTGGAGGGCCGGGAGCGTGGGTGTGGAGGGCCGGGAGCGTGGGTGTGGAGGGCCGGGAGCGTGGGTGTGGAGCGGGAGCGTGGGTGTGGAGGGCCGGGAGCGTGGGTGTGGAGGGCCGGGAGCGTGGGTGTGGAGGGCCGGGAGCGTGGGTGTGGAGGGCCGGGAGCGTGGGTGTGGAGGGCCGGGAGCGTGGGTGTGGAGGGCCGGGAGCGTGGGTGTGGAGGGCCGGGAGCGTGGGTGTGGAGGGCCGGGAGCGTGGGTGTGGAGGGCCGGGAGCGTGGGTGTGGAGGGCCGGGAGCGTGGGCGTGGAGGGCCGGGAGCGTGGGCGTGGAGGGCCGGGAGCGTGGGCGTGGAGGGCCGGGAGCGTGGGCGTGGAGGGCCGGGAGCGTGGGCGTGGAGGGCCGGGAGCGTGGGCGTGGAGGGCCGGGAGCGTGGGCGTGGAGGGCCGGGAGCGTGGGCGTGGAGGGCCGGGAGCGTGGGCGTGGAGGGCCGGGAGCGTGGGCGTGGAGGGCCGGGAGCGTGGGCGTGGAGGGCCGGGAGCGTGGGCGTGGAGGGCCGGGAGCGTGGGCGTGGAGGGCCGGGAGCGTGGGCGTGGAGGCCCGGGAGCGTGGGCGTGGAGGGCCGGGAGCGTGGGCGTGGAGGCCCGGGAGCGTGGGGGTGGAGGCCCGGGAGCGTGGGGGTGGAGGCCCGGGAGCGTGGGGGTGGAGGCCCGGGAGCGTGGGGGTGGAGGCCCGGGAGCGTGGGGGTGGAGGCCCGGGAGCGTGGGGGTGGAGGCCCGGGAGCGTGGGGGTGGAGGCCCGGGAGCGTGGGGGTGGAGGCCCGGGAGCGTGGGGGTGGAGGCCCGGGAGCGTGGGGGTGGAGGCCCGGGAGCGTGGGGGTGGAGGCCCGGGAGCGTGGGGGTGGAGGCCCGGGAGCGTGGGGGTGGAGGCCCGGGAGCGTGGGCGCGGAGGCCCGGGAGCGTGGGCGCGGAGGGCCGGGAGCGTGGGCGCGGAGGGCCGGGAGCGTGGGCGCGGAGGGCCGGGAGCGTGGGCGCGGAGGGCCGGGAGCGTGGGCGCGGAGGGCCGGGAGCGTGGGCGCGGAGGGCCGGGAGCGTGGGCGCGGAGGGCCGGGAGCGTGGGCGCGGAGGGCCGGGAGCGTGGGCGCGGAGGGCCGGGAGCGTGGGCGCGGAGGGCCGGGAGCGTGGGCGCGGAGGGCCGGGAGCGTGGGCGCGGAGGGCCGGGAGCGTGGGCGCGGAGGGCCGGGGGCGTGGGCGCGGAGGGCCGGGAGCGTGGGCGCGGAGGGCCGGGAGCGTGGGCGCGGAGGGGCGGGAGCGTGGGCGCGGAGGGGCGGGAGCGTGGGCGCGGAGGGGCGGGAGCGTGGGCGCGGAGGGGCGGTCCAATTCAATTTCCTCAGACTCGTATGATCGCTTCAACGTTTGTTCTATTTCTTCGGTCCCCCTGTTTAGGTTTATTTTCCTTTCTTGTGACAGTCGTGTCTGCTTAAGCATTTCCGTTATTTTTTTTCTTCTCCTGTACAGTCGTCTGCGTTCTCTTTCTAGAGTGGTCCTCTTTCTGATCCTCCTCTCTGGCACGTGCTTCAAGCGGACCTTGTGTGCTTCAGCCGTCAGTTGAGCTCTTCCCTGTGTGGGAGTTTTGTCGCTTAAGACTGTTTCCCATTGAATGTTTGCAAGGTCTACATTTATTTTCTCCCAATCGATCCTCTTATTGTTGAAATTGAATTGATGAATACCCCTTCTCGCTTGTTGGGTCTCTTAGACCTACTACCGTTATTTATGCTAGTTTGCACTTCAATGAGCTTATAGTCTGAGTATGTAGTATCTGAGATTGTAATGTCTCTGATTAGTTCATCATTGTTTGTGAATAACAAGTCAAGTGTTTTCTCGTTCCTAGTTGGTTCTGTGATCTGTTGATTGAGCGAGAATTTGCCACAGAACCTTAAAAGTTCTCTGACCTGTGGGTGGTTATTTTCCGGGTCGTTCCCTGCTATGATATTTGTGTTTGCCATTCTCCATTTGCCATTGTTTGCCATTCTTCCTCACTTGGTAAATTAAAATCTTCAGGGACGATAATATCTGGTGCTGGGTTCGCTTGATTATCAAGGATGTTCTCTAGTTTGTGCATCAGCTCTGTGAATGTATCTGGCGGGTCAAAAACCGTTGTATCTGGCGGTTAATATATTAGAATAATAATTAGGTTTATTTTTTCTACCTTAATTCCAAGTATCTCTACCACCTCATTAGTTGAGTTTAGTAGTTCTGTGCATTCCAGGTCCTCTTTAATATACAGACCTACTCCTCAATTGGACCTATTTTCTCTATCACATGTATATAAATTATAATTTGTAATCTAGACTTCACTATCCATGTAATCTTTCATATGAGTTTCCGTAAATGCCCCAAATATTGAGTTTGACTCTAAAAGGCCATTTATGAACTTAACTTTATTTCTTGACTCTGACTTTAGACCTTGAATGTTTGCAAATATGAATGATTGTCCATATTGTGTGTCACTTCTGGAAGGTTTTGGTAGTTCTCCCTCCTCTCTACCCTGACCCAGGGTGTGTTGTTGAGGCAATGGTTTGTCCAGTTTTGGAGTTAATACTGTGGTATGTAGGTGTGGTATGTGGGTGAGGTATGTGGGTGAGGTATGTGGGTGTGTGTGTGTGTGTGTAGTATGTGTGGTGTGGTACGTGTTTTGTGATATGTGTGGTGTGGTATGTGGGCGTGTTATGTGGGTGCGGTATGTGGGTGCAGTATGCACGTATGATATGTAGGTGCGGTATGTAGGTGCAGTATGTGGGTGTGGTATGTGGGTGCAGTATGTGGGTATGATATGTGGGTGAAGTATGTAGGGGTGATGTAGGTGTGATAAATGGGTGTGGAACGTGGGTGTGGTAAGTGGGGTGTGGTACATGGGTGTAGTGCAAAGGCATGGTACGTGGGTGTGGTACATGAATGTGGTACGTGAGTGCAGTATATGGGTACAGTATGTGGGTAAAGTTTGTAGGGTTGATATATGGGTGTGGTATATGATTGTGGTATGTGGGTGAGGTATGAGGGTGCAGTATGTGGGTGTGGTTTGTGGATGGCGTATGTGTGTGTGTGTGTGTGTGTGCGTGTGTGTGCAACCCGTTCTCGCACTTGCTTATAGTCAATATTGGCTTATTTAAAAAGTGCATATGTGACATACTAATTGATTGTGAATATTTTAGTTTACCTTGAAAGGCGTCATAGAAAACACCGACCTCACCTAACCTTCTTAGTATGTTAAGATTAGCATCTTATTGCTTCTTAATTACAATTATTACTTAACCTATACCGTTGATAGGTTAAGTAATATTTGTAAATATGAAGCAATAAGATGCTTATCTTAACATACTAAGAAGGTTAGGTGAGGTCGGTGTTTTCTATGATGCTTTTCAAGGTAAACTAAAATATTCACAATCAATTAGTATGTCACATATGCACTTATTAAATAAGCCAATATTGACAGAAAGCAAGTTCGAGAACGGGTTGGTGTGTGTGGTATGTGGATTTGGTATGTAGGTGCAGTAGGTGAGTGATGTATATGGGAGTAGAATGTGGGTGTAGTATGTGAGAGTAGATGGATAGACTACTTGGTGAGGAATTTGGGCTTTTGAAAAATTCCTTGCAAGGTCTTAAGAAATTCTTATGGATAGAAGTCGTCACTGCTAATGGAAAAATTCCTCGCTTTTGAGAGGTTTTAATGAATTTTTACTGAGAAAAAGTTTAAGCTGCGAAGTTAAGGAATTCTTATGGAGAGAAAGTTTAAGCTGCTGTGTTAAGTAATTCTTATGGAGAAAACATACTGCGGTATTAAGGAATTCCCCTGAAGAAAATATACTCGCTGTGGTGTTAAGGAAATCTTATGGAGAAAAATTCCTCACTCTGGTCTTAAGTTAATCTTATGAAGAAATTTTCTCTTCTGCACCACCTGTTTAGGGTAAAATTACAGTCAGAGGTTGCCCATTTACAGAGGATATGTTATTTAGGAGTTTGTGAAGTAATAAATTATGTCAGATATTAGTTCTTGGACCCGCCTCTAGATATTTATATATGTAGATTCATTATTATCAACGTTATTTTTATAAGATTTAAAATGTAGATATTTCCTGCACATTAAATACAAATTAAATAATTATCGAGTTTTTGCTTCTGTTCTGCACCTTAATTCACTCCTGTAATTTCGTTATTATTAATAGTTCAATTCCTGCATATTATTATATGTATTTATTTCAGACTTAGTAGATGAAATAGTTAGTTACCGAGTTTCAGCTCTTGTCATCCGTCTTAATTCAATGTTCACCAAAACATAGTTATTTCAGAAGAACAGGTCAGCTCTTGTCCATCGCGTGTATCAAAGTAAACATGTGGCCGAGATACTTGTTGATAAACAAGAGTCATGACCTCTCCTTCAATAGTCGTGTGTGTGAAGTGTGTATGAGAGTATATAAACACTCTCCAGGTAGGGTTAGCCGCCCATAACTACCATTATCTCCCTCATTTGCAATAATTTATAGCTTGCACCAAATGAAATAATTATCTCTCTCTCCCTCCACTCTCACTACCTCCCTCACCCCTCAGTTCCCCCCACATTCATATCTTCCCCTCTCTCACCCTCCCTACTCCCCTTGCATCCCTACCCCCCCCCCCTCACGTCCTCCCTCTTTCACTTAATTTTAGAGATATTTACCACACACAATAATAATAAATCATTCAATTCGCCCTCTTAGCATTCTTACTCAGAGGCCTAGGGGGGTACAAATATTACAGGCATGTCCTCCACATGTTCTCTCTTGTATGTGTGCTGTATGTGGGTGTGGTATATGTGTACCACAGATAAAGCTCTGTTACTCTTTTCTTGTTTTCCGAATGCTCATAGCATGTTTTCTATGTTCAGAATGCTATACAACAGATAAAGAAAAATCCGAAATATTTTTTTCACATACGCAAAATCAAAATAAAAAAAACTCCACCAGTATTCGACCTTTAATTACAACTGAAAGTACGTTCACAGAGGACAACAAAGAAATTAGTGAAATTCTAAGAAGCCAGTATGTTTATAGAAGCTATGTTTAGCACAACAATAAACAACATGAAAGTTGATGATCCAGACAGCTTCTTTATGAATGACATTCGAGCTGCAGATAATATAACGGATATTAACACAAACTCGGAAGACTTTGAAAGAGAAATTGACAATATGCCCATGCACTCACCACCTGGGCCGGACTCGTGGAATTCAATATTCATTAAGAAATGTAAAGTACCAGTAGTGCGAGCGCTCAGCATAATATGGAGAAAAAGCCTGGATACAGGTGAGATACCAGCTGCAATTAAATCAGCAGATATAGCTCGGCTGCACAAGGGTGGGGGTGGCGGAGTAGTAAGGCCTTGGCAAAATTTTTTAGATCAGTTGCACTAACATCTCACATATCTATTGTTGCCATCCTTTTTGACCTGGAAAAGGCTTAAGACACTACCTGGCGGTATCATATTCTGTCCCAACTTCATTCTTTTGGCCTTCGTGGGAATCTACCTCCCTTCCTCCAAAGGTTCCTCTCTCGTCGTTCCTTTCGAGTGCGGCTTGGTGCCACTCTCTCTGCCCCTTTTAGGCAATATGAGGGTGTGCCTCAAGGTAGTGTTCTGAACACTACTCTCTTTCTTGTTGCTCTCAATGGTCTTCTATCCTCCTTCCTTCTGGCGTCTTCTCCGCTCTCTATGTAGACGATCTTACCCTTTGCTGTCGGGGTGATGATTCGCCTCTCCTTCAACGGCGGCTTCAACTTGTGATTGAAGCCGTATCGTCTTGGGCCACCGATCATGGCTTCAAGTTCTATGCATCTAAGACTTGTGCTATGATTTTTACTCGGAAGCGTGTCATTCTTCGTCCCCTCTTTGTCACTTTATGGACATCCCCTTGTGTGCAAGGATTCCGCTAAGCTTCTGGGGTTAATCGTTGACACCAGTTTGTCTTGGTCGCCCCATATCTCTAATCACCGCGCTGAATGCTCTAAGGCCCTTTCCCTCCTTAAGTTTTTGTACCATGCTTCTTGGGGGGCGGATAGGCATACGCTCCTCTCTTTACATTCCTCACTCATCCTGTATAAACTCGATTATGGTTACCCTGCTTACTCGTCCGCTTCTCCTTCTACTCTTCACTGTCTTGATGCTTTGCACCATACTGGGTTGCACCTCAGCTCTAGTACCTATCGTTCGATTCCCGCCTTCAGCTTGTATGTTGATACTGGATTCTCTCTCTCTCCAGGACCGCCGTGATCGCTACTGTTTTCACTATCTGGCGCAGTCCCTGCAACATCCTTCCTCTCGCCTCTGTCGTGCTTCGACTTTTACCCCTCCTGTAGTTCCTGTTTCTCTTCACC